AAGAGCATACAGAGGATGAGGAAAGTGAGTTTTTATTTTTGATAGCAGACCCTCATGCCATACTTTATCAAATGCTTGTGAGACATCCAAAAAAGCTGCAGTGCAGTATTCTTTCTTTTCAATCGCATCTCTTGCTACTTTGGCAACTCTATGTACCTGCTCAATTGTTCCATGTTGTTGCCTGAATCCAAACTGATAATCTGGTATTAACTTTTGTCTGTCGATTATAGAATTCATTTTCTGAAGTAGTATCCTCTCAAATATCTTAGAGATAATGGGAAGCAAACTGATTTCTACGATAGGATGATAGTTCTTGTGGATCTTTATTTGGTTTCGGTATTAGAATAATTTGTGCCATTTTCCATCGAAACGGAAAATAGCCTAACTTTAGTATAGCGTTAAATATGTACATAACCAACCGAAATCCTTCTTCGGGTAAATTTTTGCAGATTTTTCCCGATATTAAATCATACCCTAGAGCTTTTTTAGTATTGAGATGTTTAACTAACTCTTTTATTTCATTAATTTTGATATTTTCTATAGGAGGTGACATCTGGTAGGGTGCATCTAAGTTCTTGTGAATGAATTCTTCTTCTTCCTCTGAGATAGTTCTCGAGTGTGGTTGAAAAACTTGGCTGAGATGATTAGCGACTGCTTGTACTTTATCTTCATCAGCCTTGGCCAAATCACCGTCTTCATTTCTAATGGGACCGTCATGCTTAATCTGATGTTTAATTTTCTTAGAGAGTTTCCAAATAGAGTAGTTTGTGTCATCCGTCGCAGTAAGACTTTCAAGAAATTCATTTATGCCCTGATCTTTGTATTTGTGTAATTCTCTTTTAAGCAAACGAGTGGCCCTATTCAGTTCAGCTTTGTTCTCAGGAGATCTGGAAGTTTGCCACTGTTTTCTAAGTTTTCTCTTTGCGTTGATTAAGATTTTTATATGATGTGGATATGGTTCACAGTTATTACTCCGATTTAGATCTGGAGTTGCCCTCCAAGCTGCCTGTTGAATGATTGATGTAAGGTGATGAACTGCTTCCTCAATATTTTCACTTGTTTTAAGAGGAAGATTTAAGTTAATTGTATTTTGAATATTAAGTCTGAACAGACTCCAATTTGTTTTATGATTTGAAAACGTGGGGTATTTATTTGTATTATATACATGTTCCATCACATCAATAAATATGGGAGAATGGTCTGACGAAAGGTCCAAAGAAGGTTTAATGTCTAAAAAGTTGTTACTTATTCCTTTTATGATACCAAAATCAATGAGATCGGGTATTTTATTTCTATCTGTAGGCCAGTAGGTTGGCTGCCCAGTAGAAATTGGAGTCAAGTTATTTTCGTTTAAACTTTTAATAAGTTCTCTTCCGCGAGTTGTTATCAGTCTTGAACCCCATCTTGTATGTTTTGCGTTAAAATCACCTACTGCAATAAAGCGATGACCAAGCCCTTTGAAATAACTAGAGAAATGGTCCTCTTTAATTATTTTACCAGGGGGACAATACGCAACTGACATCGTTATGTGCCCTTTACTGAGTTCTACAGATATAGAGGTTGCCTGAATGTTGATTTCACACACTTTATTTATTTCGTGATGTTTTATATTACTTCTAATGATTAACGCAGTTCCACCATGACCTTTTCCCATTGGGTGTGGTGTGACATAGGTGCAAAAATCTGGCATACTAAAATGGCTCTTGTTTGTCATATGAGCTTCAGAGACCATCATGATATCAAGATTATGTAACTTTATAAATGCCTTAATCTCCTCACTATGGTTTGTGAGGCCGTTTGCGTTCCAATATCCAATTTTAATTTTGGGATTGAACATTAAGTTTTGATAACATCGTTATGAGAAGGTCGAACATTTTATCCATTCTATCCATAAGTTTTTGGGCCATCAATTCTAAACTGTTACTTGTTTCTGTTGTATTCAGTTTTTCCTGTGTAGTTTTTGAGACAGATGCGGTAGTATGATTTGGTCCCTCCACAGCATTTGCATATGTTACAGATGGGCGACGAGTATTTGAGGAACTTGGCGGGCAATGAGATTGTATTTTCTCCCTCAATTTTGGAAATTGTTTTCTTTGGAGCTCTTTGTAGACCAAACAGCCTCTGTAGGATGCAGGATGATTTTCTTGGCAATTTGTACACTTCACATCTTTAATTTGTGTTGGATTTGGACATTCGGATGACAAGTGATTGGCTGTACATTTTACGCATCGTGGCATTCTGTTGCAATATTTGTGAGTGTGTCCGAAATGTTGACACCTGTGGCATTGCGGAATTTCTCTTTTGGGATGTGGTGGTTCAACTTCAACTATTGAGTTAAGTAGTTTATTGACTTTGTAAATGTCTTTATTGTTTGCATTAGCAACCAATTCTACGTGGAAAAGTGGTAGTTGCTTTTTATCCTTTATTCGTTTTATGTTGGAGATATTTTTGACTGAATGTCCTAGTTCTTCGAGTGCCCTTTTAATCTCATTAGTTTCTGTTGAGGGGTGAATATTGCGAATAACCACTCGAAATCCACGCTCCTGTTTTATTTGATATGTGTGAAACTGCGTTTTTTTTTGCTGTTAAGCTTTTAATAATATCCGAATAGTTTTCAGGTGAATCTACTTGGAGTTTAATTTGGTTATCCCTAAGGCATTTAATGGTATATAGATTTGGTATTTTTTCATCAAGCAATTCGCGTAGCGGTTTTATATATTCGACATTCTGAATAAATATTGGTGGAGGTTTTTTGGATTCGGCATTTCTATTTTCTTTTTGTATATCATCAGTAGTTAAAGGGCTATATCTATTGGTCGTTGGCGTAGGTTTCTGCAACCAATAATCCTGAATGGTAGTTTGCTTTTTAATTCTATGCGGAGGGCTATCTTCTGATCGCTGACGCTTCTTATTTTTAATTAACGTCCAACCTGTAACATCATCTTACTGACGAGTTTGTTCAGTGGCTTCTGTTTGTTGTTCTAGTTCTGGTTTGTTGTCTGGCAAACATGTTGACATTGAGGCACAATGAGATGAGCTATTAGTGGCGTTTATCCTGATTTCATTTGAGGAAATACTGTTTGTTCTATTTTTAAGCGACGGTGGAGGAGTTCGTGCCAGACCGGCCTTTCTTCTAGGTGGATTCTCATACGCTGCATCTTTTAATGAGGGAGAATAACTCTGAATATTATCTGAATTTGGAATTTGATTTTGACATTCCATTTTAGCTACTTATTTAACATATTGAAGTTTACAAAAATATTTTTATGTATATAATGGTTTTTATGTAATTATTATTTTTTTTTTGCTTTACGATATTGCGAATTGATCTCCGAAGAGTCGATCCAGATCGACTCTTCGGAGATCAATTCTCCTCTTAAAGCTACTTAGTTTTTATATATTTAGTAATATTTACTTTGTTTTCCCTTTCTATATTATTTTTTTGAAGTTTGGCAACACTGTCGGGCGTTGAGACGTGGGCCGTTTTCTTATCGCAGACTGGATTGCAGATAACCTTACTTGTTTTCGATATTATTTTATGGATGTTTAATCGTACCAGATCGGTTTTTCTAGTGTCAATTTTACACTTTCTACACTAGTATAATTAGTTACTACCGATTTTTATGTTTTAAAACTTTAATTTCACCTGTAATTTTGGAAAAATTTTCACTGTTTATTTATGTTTAACCTGCTGGCTTCACCTCAGCGTTGCCATTCCATAATAATTGTGTTATCAATAAAAGAAAAACTGCAGAAAAACAAAACTATCTTTCTCTGATGATGAGTGGTCCAAATCCTTGTTCCTTGTAGCCTACACTATCTATTCTTAGCAGCTCCCTAGGTAATCAGCAATCTTACAACAAATTGTTGCAAGTTTATCGTCCTTAATGACCTCCTTCAAATGCACGAATCGTTCAAATTATGCTAGCCTCTTCTCCTCTCGATAAACTGAATCTCTCGTTGGCCTGAGTGAAAAATGACTCTTGGAATATCTTTTCTTTACGATAAACTGAATCTCTCGTTGGCCTGAACAGTGACTCTTGGAATATAAGTAAAAAAATATGACTTACAATCTTTTACTGGATCAGCTTCTGTCAGATACACTAACTACACGAAAACTCACAAACTTTCACTGCTACTGCTTCCTACCTCTGGGAAACTACCCGAGAACAACTGCCGTTCGCCTTGCACCCTTGGAAACCAACTGACTATCATTTTTTTCTTCCAAAACTAACTAATGTCTCATTCTCAAACCAACCATCCCACATTTTTCAATCTCATCCAATCAAAACGCGTCATACATCTCCCACTTCTTCATTTCGATAACACAAACAAATTTTTACCTACAATTATAAAATTTCCTAAAACTTATTTACAAAATAATCTTTTCCTACCAATTCTTATGAACTAACAAAAACATATCATTCTAAAATCTATTCTATTGTCCTAATTACTGCACAAATTTATTAGGAAAACCCGCTTCCATTGTCTAGGATTTCACTTAAGCTTATGCAGGTCACTCAAATATATTTTAACAAAGAAAATAATTTATGCATATCTTACGTTTTGTTTAATACAGGTAATCCAAAATTAAAAGACTTTCATTCTTCGAAATGTTTGTAGTTTATTGTTTTGACTTATCTGAATTATTTTAATTTTTTTTCAACTTTGAAATATTTTAAGCAAACCAATAATTTTCTCGATTATACATATCATAACAATATATATATATAATATATATATATATATATATTATATATAGGTATATATATATATATATACATATATATATATATATATATATATATATATATATATATATATATATATATATATATACATATATATATACATATATATATATATATATATATATATATATATATAGTATACATATATATATATATATATATATATATATATATATATATATATATATATATATATATATATTGCATTTATTGCTTAATATTGTTTAACAATTTATTATGTGTTTGCAGTCGATCTACTGGCAACTTCAGGTGATATCACAATGACCTGGACATCGCCGATGTTTTCAAAACTATACTCCAATGATACCACCGTAAATCCACTTCCAAAACCGATCACTGCAGCTCAAGATGCGTGGATAGCCTCACTAATCAATGTTGGAGCTATGGTTGGAGGATTTCCTTTCAGCTTTATTTCTGAACACTATGGAAGAAAAGCAGCTCTATTAGCAGTTGGAGTTTTCCATATTATAGCCTATTTGTCAATGGCTTTTGCAAAATGTGTAGAATTATTTTATTTTGGAAGGATTCTTGGAGGACTAGCAGTAGGTGGAGGATACACTTTACTTCCGATGTACATTGCAGAAGTAGCCGAGGAAAAGAAACGAGGTGCCTACTCCGTTACTCTAGGAATATTTTGGGGATTTGGCAACTTTTTACCTTACCTTATTGGTCCTTTTCTTTCTGTAAGAGTTTTTAACCTTATTAACTTCTCTTTGCCATTGCTATTTGTTATATTGTTTTTCTTTCTGGGTACCGAAACGCCATATTATCTTATTGGTGCTAATAAACTTGAAAAAGCAGAAGAAGTATTAATGTTGTTAAGAGCTAAAGATCGTAAAAGTGTACAATTAGAACTAGAAAATATTAAAAATTCTTTAGAACAAGAAAAACATGAAAATGTAGGAAGTTTTACAAACATATTTACCAACCCTGGAGTAAGAAAAGCTTTTATTATTGCAATTTCCTTAATATCATTTCAACAATTATCTGGTTGGAATGCTATAACTTTTTATCTTCAACCAATATTTGAAGCATCTAATACAAATCTAAGCCCAGAAATATGTGCTCTTATTATTGGTGCTTGTATTTTTGGCTTTGCCTTACCAACTCCATATTTCACTGATAAAATAAACCGAAAGGTCTTATTAATATTTTCGGACATTGGTTTAGGTTTAGGATTGTTAATTCTGGGCGCATTCTTCTATATAAAAAATAGAACAAATTGGAGTATGACTGCAATATCTTGGATTCCAATTCCAACACTAATAATGTGTACTTTCGCTTTTCAAGTAGGTTTGGCTGCGTTACCTTGGACAATTTCATCTGAAATATTTCCAAAGAATGTCAAAAAATTATCTTCGGCAACTACATCGGCTTCTTGCTGGATAGTGTCGTTTTTAATTACCCAGTTTTTTAATACAATGAAACAGAATTTGGGTACAGATGGAACATTCTTATTTTACGCTGGTTTTGCTTTTATTGCAGCATGCTTTACTTTCTTTTATGTTCCCGAAACAAGAGGTAAAACTTTTGTCGAAATTCAGCAAATTCTTAAATCCTAAAACATTTTGGACCAGATGTTTGATATATTAATGTTAATGGGTAATATATATATATATATATATATATATATATATATATATATATATATATATATATATATATTGAAAATCAGTAAGAAATGACAGTAATATATAAAACTGCTCTATATAAAATAAAAAGTTAAACCATTTTTAACATAATTTATCTTTTTAACCCCATTCTAATGTTCAATTAATTCAAAAAATCATTTTTATTAAAATTTTACTTAAATGAATGTCGTTTGTTCTTTGATCTCACTACAATCTTTAGTAGAATCTAAATAATCCGGCACTAATAAAAACCAGAGGGTGCCCGATTACTGGAATGTTATAGAAATAGAAAAATTCATAATAAATAATTAAGAATTTCATAACGGGACTAGGACTTCTGCATTCATAGTGTGCTGTGGAGGTTGCTGACGCTTTGAGAACTCGCATATCGACCCACATCTTAAACTTATATCTTTTTAAGGAGTGCCTTATTTAATGCCCAGCTTTATACATCGTATAGGATAATGGAAAACATATAACACATAATCATTCTAATTTTTTGACCCATAGAAAGATGTGGTGCTGTCAACAATATTTTCATTTTGGCGAACGCAACTCGTGTTTGTTTAATAAATGAACGAGTGAATGTTTGTTAGTCTTGTTGAAAATAGTTCCAAAATATTGATGCCGCAAAACCCGCTCAATGACCTGTCCTAAAAGAAATTGTCCAAAATTGTTGTTATTTCTTTAAACTACAATCGATTTAGTTTTCTTTAAATTGATATATAAACCGTCATACTAACCATTTATACGTTATCAAAGAGTTTCTGGGGGTCTCCCAAATTGTTGGCTATTATTGCTATATCGTAAGCATATATGATGTTATTGACAAAAACTCGAGATATTTATCGTTATTCCAGCTAATACATCTTCTAATGGTTCACGAAAAATATGTTCAGAGTATACATCGGATAGCATTGGTGAGAGAATACATGAAAACACTCTTCTGAATACTTAGTTCCTCTGACAGGGAGCCGTCGAGTTTTATTATTGCCGTTTGAGTCCAGTATAATCTTGATATTATTTGAACATCTTGATTATCAATGTTTAGTTTTTGCAAAGATTTTTAGTAGTTTCTTGTACTTAACATTTTCAACAAGGTCTTAGTATAGTCAATGAAATAGACATACATATCTTGGTTGACATCTGTTCATCTCTGTGCCTCTAATAAAAGGCAAACAGGGTTTCCTTGGTTCTCAAACCATTGCTGAATCCAAACTGTGTATGTGATGTTTCATTTTTTACATTTTTAGTAAATTCTGGTATAATTCGTAGAAAGACCTTTTTTATTATAAATTCTTTGGAATGGTGACATAAGCCATTTGAAGGTGGAGATAAGCCATTCTTTTTGGAATCATGTTAATTCATAATATGAATTAATGATGTTAACATAATAATGTTAATACATATATAATATATAATATAATAAATAATATATATATATATATATATATATAATATATATAATAATATATATATATATATATATATATATATATATATATATAAATAATATATATATATATACATATAGCTCAGGTGTTCACACCTGAACACAGGTCCACCAAAGCAGATATAGATTTGTCGTCCAGTATTTTTAAGAGTTCATAATAGCTCATCTGGCCCTACTCTTTTACCAATTTTTATTATTTTTATGGCTTGTTTTACTTTATCATGTGTTATTGAAGGTACATCTTTCGAAAGTGTTACGACAAAATTATTCCAATAGGTATATAGGTTTTTCTTCTAAGTTTATTATTGTACCATTTTGATTTCTTAATATGTTTATTTCTAGTTTGAATCCAAGACCGACCAATTCCTTACCTTTCTTGTGAACTTTAATGCTTTCATATTTACTATGTAGTTCTTTAAATTCATTGCACTTTTCGTTCATCCACCTTTACGTTCCTTTCTTAATTGTATTTCATTCTTTTGTTTAGATTTTCTATATTTATCCATCAGTGTAAAAAATCTCCTTGGTTATCCATTTTTGATTTTTGTGGTCATTAGTGTTTACTATTACTTCTTTAATTTTTAACCATTGCATTATATGGATCTGCTATTATGTTTTCTCCTTCTTTTGGGTCATAAATTTTTTAAATAATTGGCTGAATTTTAATTTAAGCATAACCAGGTTCTTGTAATTTTTAATATCAACTTTGGTGTAATTACGTTATCTCCGGTTTTTTCCGAGTCGTATATTATGTCCATTGATCGGATGCAACATCGTTGCCCGTGTAAGTCTGATTTTATCTCATTAAACTTCTTACTTCTATCTATCTATAGCCCAAAATCTATTCATGTGTTGAATATAGGCCTCTCCAATTTGTCTCTGTCTTTTGTTTGTCTTTTCCACATTGAACCTGCGCTTTGCTCAATGTCATCTTTCCATCTCATTTGCGGTCGACCTCTTGACCTTTTTGCAGTATATGGTCTCCAGCGGCCAATTTCTTTATTCCATCTTCCATCCTGATATCTTTCATTATGCCCAGCCCATTTCCATTGTAATTTCATTGCATGTTCGATAGCGTCTGTTGTTTCGGTTTTGCATCTTATCCAATCGTTCCTCTTTTTGTCTCTCAACGATATTTCCAACATTTGTCTTTCCATAGCTCTTTGAGTTTTCTTTATTCTATCTAGGTTGTTCTTGCACGTCCACGTCTGGGCACCATATGTCAGAACAGGTAGGACGCATGCATTAAATACCTTCGTTCTTAATTTTAAAGGTATTTTTTGGTTTTTGATAGTATATGAGAGTTTTCCGAATGCAGCCCACCCCATTCTTATTCTTCTGGTTATTTCTTTAGTCTGGTTACTTTTGTCTGCTCTGATAGCTTGTCCTAAGTAAATATATTCTTAGACGTGTTCTATGTCTGTTCCACCTATGATAATTATTGATCTGTCTTCTGTATTTGTCATTATTTTAGTTTTCTTTAGATTCATTTTTAGTCCTTTCTCAAGAGATGTTTTTCCTAGGTCTGAAATCATTATTTGTAGTTGTTCCATAGTTGTTGCTATCAGGAGTACATCATCGGCGAATCTTAGATTATTTAAATATTTCCCGTTTATACAAATCCTTTTATTCTCCCAGTCTATAGATTTAAAAATGTCTTCCAACTCCAGATTAAATAGTTTGGGTGAGATTGTATCCCCTTGTCTGATACCTCTACAAATTCTAATTAATGGAGTTTGCAAATCTCTGTCTAGCTGAATTCTCATAGTGGCGTTTTGATATATAGTGTGGATTAACTGGTTGGTACGCATCAAATTTGTTGTTTAGTCTAGTGGTGATCACCTTAGTGAAAGTTTTATAGATTTGTGACAAGAGAGATATTGGTCTATAGTTAGCTAATTTTGATCTATTTCCTTTCTTATATATCAGAATTGTATTTGCCTTGTTCCACTCTTGCGGTATTTGTCCTTCAAACAAACATTTATTGAAAAGTATCTTTAGGTAGTCTTTTATCTTTTCGCCTCCCTCTTTTAACATTTCAATTAGAATTTCATCGTCTTAAGGAGCCTTATTTCTTTTCATATCTCTAATTGCTTTTTCTATTTCTTCTCTGGTTATGGGGGGTAATATTTCAGAGTTTACATTCATTATTTTTTTTCAGGTTTTGTTGAGTTGTATCAGGTGTACTGTTTTTAGAGCTGTAGAGGTCACTATAATATTCACTTGTTATCTTAGATATTTGGGTTCTGCTTTTTCTATTACACCTTATTTATTTTCCATCTCTATGATTTTATTTATTCCTAGGTGGGACTTAATAGATTTTAAGTTTCTATTTTCTTCTATAATTTTCTCGATTTGTTCTTCTTGATGCCGTTTGAGATCTTGTTTTATATGTCTTCTTATTTCTGCATTAAGGGTTTTGTATTCAGTTGTATTTCTTTTATTTTCTTGTAGTAGGCTTCTCCGTTGTTGTAGCATGTCTAAAGATATGGCACTTAGTTTTGATTTTTTGTCTGATTTTGCTGTGGCTACTTCTAAGCTAGTCTTTAGAAGTTCTTTAGTGATGGCTTTGTTTAGTTGATCTAGATTTGGGTCTATTAGGTTTAGTTCTTCAGCTGTTTTTAATTTCTTTTGGTATTATTCTTTATTCTCCTTTAATTTTTCTGGGTGGACTTTTTTCTTAGATTGCACATATTGTATTCGATCTTTTCTGTGTTTAATACTTATTTTAGCCCGTATCATTCTGTGATCACTACCAGTAGAGATTGGGTTTATTACTGTGACGTCTTCGAAAATGTTTTTTTTTTGTTTGTTAGTATGTAGTCAATTTCATTTTTAGTATTTCCATCTGGCGACATCCACGTCCATTTCCTATGTGGTTTTTTCTTGAAGAAAGAGGTCATGGCAAATAATTTGTGGCTTTCTAGATAGTTAACCAATAGATCTCCTCTTTCATTTCTTACTCCATGTCCAAATTCTTCTATACAGTTTTCGTTTTCTTCTAGTTTTTTGACTCTGTCTGACTTAGACTCTGTGAGGTGTTCATAGAATTCTTCCATTTTTTCGTCTGTGTGTGTAGATGTTGGCGCATAAATTTGAACTTCTTACTTACGAGTATATAATCAATTTGATTTCGGATTATTCGGTTCGTTTTTCTTGATGCTTTCCATGTGTATAAACTTTTCTTTGGCAGCTTGAAAAATGTATTGCTTATTTATGATGAGACATAAATATCACAAACACTGACACATACAAGCAAGCTAGGCACTGAAGAACATTGGAAAGAAATCGAAATAAAAGTAATTGACACAGCAAGTGAGATTAGCTACATAAAACAAAAAGGGAATGGTTCAATAACGATTGTAAGAGGCCATACACAAAATATATCAAGAATACAAGAAATATATGGAAATACGAATCACAGAAGAATCACAGAAGAAAACGCAAGACGTAAGGCCGATAAAATATGCCGAATAGAGAAAAGGAAATATGTAAACGGTAATATACAGAAAATGGAAGAGAATCTTCAAAACGACGATATAGGATAAGCGTACAATAATATCTACATTATTTAAACCAAGGAAACAAACCCAGAACAAATCTTTGAATAAATTAAGAAGAGCAGATAACCAGCCATCCAAGAGAAA